TTGCCCTCCCCCCCCCCCCCCCCCCCGAGACGTTTGAAGACAGGCATCAAAAGCTAACCTGTCAAGTGTTGCGTATGCGGAGATAACCATGACCCTAGCACACATCTTCTACCGTTTCAAGATGGACTTGAAGACGAAGGAGTTCCGTGCGAAAGACAGGTTTATTCAAGAGTTTGAAGAGCCGGGGATTCTAGTAGACTTCAAGCTGCGACAACACTCTTAAGGTCGTCGTTTCCAGAGCATGGGGGACAGATGATGGAAGAAGCGCGATTCAGGACCTAGGAGCCTATATAACAGTTTCAATCTCTACAAGCCAGTCAAAAACTACCTACTACTGAACCTTGATGTACGGATGGCCTGTAAGCAGTTCAGTATGACTTGAAGCAGGATTCTGGAGGGTATTAAGAGAAAGTATACAAGTTGATCACGGAGGAGGTATGGAAGATGATGTCCCTTAACTCCAAATTCAGTCCTTCTTATACATAGATCCCCCGCCCCCCCTTTTTCTTTTTTCTTTTTGCGCCTGGTCTATTGGCCTACACAAATACTGTACCGCTCGGACATCTCGCTGGACGATGGGACCAAGCTTTTTGGGGTGTAATATTCCGATCGTAGACCACACTGATAAGACAGCTAATCACATAGAGCGAGTTGGAGTATTATACAGGAGTTTATTATAAATCGAGGATAAAACCATGAATTTATTTCAAAGAGTCGTGCTAATTATTTAGGATTTCCTCACAGTTCCCTTGATACCCGACTTGCCAGGTGATAAAATGTCGTTAGGATCCAAAGTGGCCTTGAAGCTATCAACAAGCTTTGCGTGGGCGTGATCATTGAATGAGAAGTGACTCCTGATCTGGTCCATGTACTCCACGTGAGTGCGATACGTAGTCAGTCCACGACGGGCAGCATCGTTGATCAGGTTCTGGACGAGTGTCTTTACGCGGTCCTTCTCCTCGGGCGCGTATACTACCATGACGATGGGGATGATGTACCGAGACCAAACGTGGAAATCGGCGAAGAGGTCAAGATTTGCTTCAGCGACCATCTTTTTAGCTTCTAGCCACCATTCGAGCAATGCCGGGCCCGAGGTAGGGAGAATGGGAGCGAAGTCGCCGTGTCCGCTTCCGGGTGCCATGCGGTAGTCCATCAGAGTCATGGCCGTCAATGTCGGCACGCCATTGTGGGGAATGCCGGGGGTTTCGACTTCTTCTCCTCGAAGGAACCTGCCCGGGGTGCCACCAAACTTCCTGACTTCAAGCCGAGCTCCAGGAATCTTTGTGATGGCGCGACGCAGTGAACTCTCCAGGGCTGGGACTACATCGGCGTCACCTTGAATACCGAACTCGGCTCTCCAGAATCCCCAGCCGTAAGTCGACTTCAGCTCGTCCAGAACGCTGTCCGGGACTCTCTTGTTGGGACCGAAATAAGGTGCCATTTTCTCTGTACAGGCAGGGTCCGGGGACAGGATGGCCTGGCGGAAAACGTTGGAAACGGAGGGGTGGTTGGTGATTACGCCTCGCCTTTGGAGATCCGCGAGAAGCTCGATGAACTGGGGGAGATCTTCCTCGTTTGGCACGCTCAGGTCACAAGCGGTGTACGCCTCAGGTGCCGGGGAAATGTGAATACCCAGCTTCGTCACGACGCCTAGTAGTAGTCGACTCAAAGTCAGTACATATATTCTTGATCTGGCATGGCATGGCACGGCTGACGAGAAAGGCAGAGCTTACCTAGATTAGACTGATAGAAGAGTCCATCAAGACTTGGTCCAAAACCGCTAGAGAATTGACTGGTTAGCACATTGTGTTGTTGATCAGGCGACGACGACACTAAGTTTCGTGGACTGGTGATAGATAACTCACGCCTTGTAAAGAGGGAACAGTTTACTGTCAGTCATAGCACCCATTCCAGTCCGAACCAGATCTCCTGTTGGAAGAACAACCTCCATGCCGCACTGCATATCTGTGTGCACGCCACCAGGAGTATAGCCGAAGCCGTGGTCCAGCGTGTTGCCCAGGACAGATCCCCATCCGATCGCGGCGGTAGATGGCCACAGCGGGAGATCGCGCCGTTTAATCTCTTCGTAAAGGTCAAAGAAGGAGACGCCTGGCTCGACAATGGCGTACGCATCTTTCCCGCTGACCTCCAACACGCGGTTCATTCGATGCAAGTCGAGGACCACGCTGCCAGCCACGACAGGTGCCGAGCCGCCATAGCCAAGGTTCCTACCGCGGGATACCGTCCACAAGGGAACCTTGAATCGGTTTGCCAGTCGTAGAACCTGCTGTACTTCTTCTACAGACGCCGGGCGAACCGCACCACTAGGGGTGTGCTGATCCTGATCGACCAAGGAGTATGGATCGCCGTAGCTGTTTTGCTGGTGAGGCCCAGTCAAGGCGCCTGCTGATGCATCCCGGGAGATGTTCTCACCGCCGACGATCTTTGCAAGCTCATCAAAGAATTGACTATGCTCGGAAGATCCAACACCAGGGGGAAGAACTCGGACTGAGGACGGCATTGCTGCGAGGTTGGTTGGAACAAGGTGTAAGTGAGTGAGCGAGCTGGTTAAGAACAAGCTTTGGAGGCTTTAGGTACAGCCAGCAGAAGTTACAATGAACTGTATTCTATGGAAAGGACCTCCTACAATTGAAAGGGGTTTTTATACAGTAAGTACCGTACCTAGTCAAGGTTTCTACTTCAATTCAGCTTGTTAGTATTTGCCGACGCATGCCCCGCGTTACTAGGATGGATTGCGCGATACTACGGGAGACCCCGTAATGCGGGGGGCGTCCGTGGGAGGCAAGAAAGAAAGTCAGACTGACAGACAGACAGATCCCGTGCTCCAATTATATCAGGTGTAATAATAAAAGATAAGAAATAAAAAGAATAATGGTCACAAGGCCCGGCAAAGAGACTATTGCAATGCATCTTCCCCACCCCGCAGCAGCATTTCCCTCCTCCTCCTCCTCCTCCTCCTCCTCCTCCACCACCACCACCA